ATTATTGTTGCTAATAATCAAGGATTTCAAAAAAGAGAGTGCACCGATTTCTTTGGCAATAGTACCTCCTATACCCATATCTGCTAGATTCAAGTCCCAAACTCTTTGATTTCTATTGCCACAAGTAACACCAACCCAATTACAGAACGAGGTTCCTTGTGACCAATTTTTAGCCAAGATATTATTTGGATCAGAAGTTATTTGAGATTTGAAGGCTAGAAGAGCATACTCATCTATGGAGCTTTTTAGAGATGCAACAATGTTGATATGCAAGCAAAGCATTGCCAGCAACGTAAAGATCACATTGTGTCCCATGGATAATTTGAAATGTATAAAAAAAACTGGGAGGGGGCTTGTAATGAGGAGTTTGATACAAGTGTGCGTGTATATATACACACACGAAATAAAAGCTTCCTACAAGATAAGTGAACAACGTAATTTATGGTCGAGAGTTGGATGGGCTTCTATCTCAAGGGAGTGGTGCTCATCACCCCATTATGGACTCCACTTTTCCTATAAAAAAAAAAAAATACAAATTTTGCTTGACTACCAAGCCAGAGAAATTATTCCATTAGAGGCTGAGATTTTTCTTTATCTTTTATTGTGGAAACTGAGCAAGTTTTTCCAAAAATGAAAGTTGCATTATTCTAATAATCCAAAAGAAATAATTAACTTTTAGAGATTTTATTGTCCACCAATACCCCATATTTTCAAGTAGAGCGTGGAGATTTTCTTAAGAAAATAGAAGTGGCTCGAAGTGTGCAAAATTTTAAACTTAAATCCTAAACAGTTTGATCGTATGCAATATAGCTTGAATTTCCATCTATAGAAGGAAGGTTTTCATTTCCTTTAATTTTTTTCAACAGCCAAAAGAAAGGGCTTTATGGTTACTGAAAACAACTAGTTTAAATTCTTGAGTAGAATGATGGGCTCTTAGGAATACAAGTGGGCATGAATGGAGCATCTATGACTGTGTTGGCTGAAGCAGTCTTGGTTCATGAACGATGAAACAAAGCAAATGAGATCTAGTGCCGGATGTTTTATCTTGAGTTACGAGTCTAGTATTAAACTCATTAGTTTTCTCTACTTTGTATGTCATTTAGTACGGTTTCAATCGAACTTTTTGCTTTTTTTTTCCCACCTAGTATAAATAAAGTATCCTTGTGGATGGTGGCTCAATTCGAAAAATGCATCAATGTTGTCCCCTTGATCACCCAATTGTCTAACAAGAGACTTAAGATTTGATTCGAGTTCCATAACAATACAAAGAAAAAAATTAAAGAGAAAACATTAAAACTGACAAAAATGCAATAAAGCATATGTTGGATTAGTAAATGTTTATCAAAACACATAGTAAAATTATCAACCACAAACACTGATTATTGGTATATTTATTAACTAAAATTTTTCACAACTGTAAATGCAAATGTATACAATACAT